GAGGGTTAGCTAGTGAACATTTGTAGAAAAGAAAGAGCTAGCAAAGTACTGTGCCTGTCACCAGGGCAAGGGTAGCATTTGCAAACAACCTAACAAGATTAAGGACTAGTAAGGTTAAGCACGTGGCCAATAGGATAAGCACTAGTTAGCACTCAGGAACTGTTGAAATTGAGAGAGGGCTAGCGCACTATTAGAGAAATCCTAGATCAGTTAACTAGCAAACTGGCTAACACCTGCTCCACAGCAGAGAACATTTGTCATATAATAATGCATTAGAGGTGACGAGGAAGAGACAATTTGAAGTCCTGACAGTCGGGGCAGATTCCTATTTTGGACTGCAGGGTAGGAGGCAGGCGAGGAGGAGGGAGAGGGTTGTGCAATTGGAGACAGATGGGGTGAGAGGTGGCATGTAAGGCGTAAGTGAGAGAGATGGCAGGAGAGACACAAAGTGCTCTGAGCATGCTCAGTGAGAACCCGGGCTCCTGCTAAGAGGAGGAAGGTTCGATGAAACAGGCAGCGGAGAGAAAACAGGCTGGTGGGAATTCCACTGTCCATTAAACAATAAGAGAAAGGCTCATTTCAGAAGGAGGGGAAGACTTACCGTTTGCAATATAATTCATTCGCTAAATTAATTATTCAGACAGCTGGGTCTCCAGTTCAAGAAATTGTGTCTTTAATAATAGAGAGGATCTGGCCTAGTCTGTTTCCCATGGCAACCTAATAACCAAGCAGGCACAGGAGATAAATAAATAAATCAATTAATAAACAGTCACGGCCCTTTTAGATCTCTAGGGGTTGTGATATGCTCACTCTAATCTGCCTAATTTGAGGGAGAGAGGTGTGGAGACCTGTGAGTTTGCAAACAAAAAATGAAGACATCTTGATGCCTGCCCTGCCATAGCACAGAAAGGACAACTTGTGAAAAGTGAAGAAAAATTTCACGGTGCTGCTCCAAAACATAGCCCCTAGCAGTTGCTGATATTAAAAAGTATCTGATAACAGCTTGACTGTATCCATTTTACTATTCTAGGATGTAATTTAATGCCATTTGTACACAACTCTACATGCAAAACATGACTTCTAACGCGCTGACCCCAAGTGGCTTCTCAGTAACAGACAAACCTCTGAACGGTGACAATCTAGAAACAGACACCCAAAAGGTCAGCCATCTGCCCCTCTTGTTAAGCAGCCATTGGATGGAGCAGAGTAATAGATGTGGTGTGTGTCGTTGGTCTGTCTGTGTGGGTCATGTGCCAAATATCTGAGACTAAAGCTAAGAAAAGCGACCAAATAAAACATGTACATCCACTAAGCAGATTCCACCCCAACAGGAAATTTGTCATTTTCCAAGCATGAAGAAAACAGTTCCAGTTATTCTGTCACCCTCCCTTCCTATTCATATCACTGTCCCCACCTGCCCCCACCCACCTCCACCCTCTCCCCCACCTCTCCAGACCAACAAGGCACTCACTCCCCCCCCCAGCATCAGCCCCCCCCCCCCCCCCTCCACTCCAGGGACTGCCGTGCCAGGCGGGTGCAGGGTGACAGATGGCATACCCCCTCCCCCCAACTCGCTCTCCCCTCTCCCCCCTACTGCACCAGCCCCCCCACCCGGCCCCCCGGTGGCGCAGCGGCGGACCAGATCAGTGCCATTCTGTCTCATTAGAGCCTGGCTAATTAGCGTAGCCTCTTCCAGGGGAGAATGAGCGAGTGAGAGAGAGAAAAAGAGACGGGGAGAGAGGGCCGTGTTGGTGGCGGTGACTGCGTTCTGTACTCTTCTGGTCATTGAGGAGTCGGAGGGCTTTGAGCCCCGCGGTGCGCAGGGCTCCCAGGGTGCTTGTTTTATGACAGCAGGGACTCTGATTCTAGCCGTTGTGCTATTCCTCTCAGGAAGTGTCGGGGATGTTTGGACATAAAAGTCGTGTCAAAGGAATGCCCCCAACCCGCTCCGCCCCACCCTCAGCAAACCTCCCATTGCTCAACTGAACATTAGCCGCCCTCTCTGCCAGGATAGCCAACACAGCAAGCCTCCCCTGTTAACGTGAATGAAAACAAAAGCCCAGTAACTTGCTAAACAGTGCTCTAGCCCAACTGAGCCAGTTAATAATGTCGACATCAACTCCAGGCTATCCAGATCATAGCTTGCACCTCTGCCGGCTAAAATGAAATGGGCTGTTTGGCGAATATAGTTAGCTCTGGCAGTGTCATCGCTGGATTTGAACCAGTAGCACGCAGATGTTTCCTCCAAGTCTGACATCTCCTGAAGCTAAATGAAGACGGAGCATTCTTGGAGCATTCAATCTTGATTCTGATTTTATCAAGGAGTAAACGTAATATCTGTCCTAATAAATCAGAATTGATGCATGGATTACTTAAAAAAAATACATTTGCCCAGACTTGAAGTGAATGACGATCATTAATATGATAAAGTAATATGGCTTGGGGTAGATTCACTGCTCTATAGTTACTACTCTGAATATGTGACAGTAAAAGAGTGACTGAAATGCAACACTGAATATGGGGGGGGGGGGGGGGGGGGCAGTTAAGAGGTGGCTGTGGCCTGCTATGGTTACGAGCCATAAGAGAGTACAGGATGGCTGCGTTCCAGGAACCCCCCCCCCCACACACACAAACAGACACAATCACACACAGTCACATAAACCCATATTTGAAGCACCGAAAAGCACAAACACACACACACACACACACACACACACACCTATTCATACAATCATGCACCAGTCAGTAAACTCTTGTTTACTGCTTTTCTACCCACAGGACCACCACTGCCTATGTCACTGTTAAGCTCCACATCTCTTATTTCTCTCCTTTCAGACCTCCATCACTCTTCTCCTTTCTTTGTCTCTCTCTGTGAATGAGACAAATATGCTTTATGCAAATGCTAAATACACCAAGAAACACTATACCCACACATACACAGGACTGATACCAACAGATCCTGGTCACCTGATTCCGTGCTTGCGTAAGCATGCGGGAAATCCTAAGCTGAGCAGAAGAGGCAGAGGTTGAACTGCACACCAGGCTGATAGGACGGTGCCAGCCTCAGTGATGAGCCCTCTCCCCCACCCTCCCCCCACGATTATTTCCCTGGACCCCATATGGGCATCCTGCCAGTCTAGCCCATCCTCCATCCTCATCACCAACCACATCCACAATGCACTCCCAACCTCAGTACCCGCAGTCTCTGCTGATATGGTACTCAACCCTTGGCTTGGACAGTAGTTATTTTTTCCTGCAAGGCTGCAAACCTCTCTGGACTTAAGCTGTCGTTTACAACATGTCATTTAAATATACATTCTCCCTGGCTGACTGATTTGCACTATAGTAACCTCATAAACAATTAACACTGATGTAATTTCCAGGTGACATACTCAAATTGCTTGTTTTGTTCTTCCAACAGTACAAAGGCCAAAAATATACAATTCACAATGATATAAAACAGCAAATGAGAAACAATGACAACAGCTGCAAATCCTCCCATTTAAGCAGCTGAAACTGTCAAATGTTAGGCATTCTTTCTCATAAAGTGCCTCAAATGATTGACTGAAATAGTTTTCCATGAATTTTCTGTCGATCAGCTAATCCATTAATTGACTAGGAAGTACTGCAGCTATATTGCAGTCAATGTAACATAACTATGTGAAAAAGAAAAAAGACACAACATCAAAAGGAAAATACATCACTTTTCACAAATTCTGGAAAGTTAAAATCTCGTCCCAATTTAAATTATAATAAAGATTTGAGGCAAATGCTGGATATTAGCATTGTGTGGAAACAGCTAACAAAAACTGGGTGCTGGTCTCCAACTTTCGGGGTTCGGGGGTCCTGATGGGGAGGAGCAGGTTTGGCCTGGTGGTGCTAGTAGCTGTGGCAATGCCGGCTGGATAGTAAGGGGGGAGACCAGCTGCCCGGGGAGCGCCCATTACGAGATGGAGCCAGAGATAAGTGCTCTCCCAGGCCCCCTTTCACAGGCATAATTAGCACACTTCTTATCTGCTGCTCAATTCACATTCACACCCGCCTGCCATGAATGGAACGTGAAAGAGTGGCAGAAATCTGGGGGAACGAGAGAGGTAGAGGGGCAAGACAGAATGATGGGAGTGAGGTGGAGAAGGCACGGTGGAACCTGTTCCCAGACAAACCTTCATTTGAGAAGAGAGAGACATGTGCAAGTTAATACTGCGACCGCCTCGCTCTCCCCCTTTCTCTTTCTCCATCCTTCCAAGGAGTCTTTGAACTCCTTAACAAAAACAGTGGTTTGTGCATCAAACTGCAATTTTGTAAAACAAAGCTATCTGGAGGTATAATCATCCTAATCAGCAAGAAAAAAATAAAGCCTTTGCAGATATTTCTAGATTATTCCGCCCTTGGTGATCTATTTCTCCCCCCTTCTTCTTTATCAAGCACAATTGTGGAAATTTTCCCAACTCTGTCACAGACAGACACATGAAAACCTGTAATAATAACTCAGTGCTGATTTTTTTTAATTACTTTTAATAAAGAGTTAAACTGGTGGTGTGTTTTTCTCCTGTTTCCAACACACAAGCTTTTATTGTGTGAGTGCCCTGCTGTCTGGGAGACCAGGGGCCCCATCGACTTACTGAGCAGAGCTAATATAAACAGGTTTGTTTGGTGTTGAAACAGTGTCGACTGCTAAACTCCGAACCCACAATAAAGAGGACATGTGTCATTATGTCGATAAATCATTGCCGTGATGCTCTGAGGCTTGTTTCGCTATGGGTTGGTTAGATTTCCTCTACTTTGTTTTTAACTGTATGAATATATTGATGTTATGTGCATTTAGTATCAAATGTTTTATAATCTTTTTAAGGTTCTATATATAAACTTGATATGCATGTTTGTCTAAGAGCTACTTTGCAAAGTTAGATCTTGTGAAATCATTATACACATTATTCTTTTTAAACATTAATGGTGAAAAAAGAAAGAACAATCTTTTAGTTTAGTGTTTTTTTCAATACCTGGCTCTTGGAGGCAGCCACCTTTGCGAACAGGGCCTGGGAAACTTTGGCCCTCTTCATCTCTTGCTGGATCTCATCGTAGATGTTGGAGTTGATGTTGAGGATGCAGCTCTCAGTTTTGCCGTTCCACTCGCTGGGAAGAGGCGATGGTTTCACCTGGTTAAGAGTCAAGTCAGAGTAAATATCGAAAATCATAAACATGTAGTTTGTCAGATACTGAATTCTCCTTTATATTTGATTGAATTGGTTGTTTGTATAGATTGAGTCACTGTGATCTACTTGGAAGATTTTTTTCGTGACAGTTGGTATGTTTTGCAACTGTGCAACAGGATATGTCTTTATTTTTGTTCAGTCTTTTTGATGCTAAAATACACTCAAACAAAGACTATATTTGACCCAGATTTGGTAATCATTAGATTTAATTAAAATCTAAAGCTTTGTAATAGTGTAAAATTGTGTGGTATTACTATTCTATCTAATTCACTTCCTGCTTCACAAACATGTAAATACTGAAACAGCAACGAATTGCATGTCTGTAGATGATAAGCTCCAGTGTGTGTATTGTCTACAGTATGAGAATGTGTGCATTCAGATTGGTGGTGGTGGAGGAGGAGAGGTGAGGTGAGGTGGGTGGAGTTATTTGCTCACAGGGGAAATGCCCACGGGGATTCGGGGATTCCAGTCCTCGGGCCTTACGCTGTTACAGTCTTCCCTCCGGGGCTGCAGTGTCGGGAACACAACACAACCATACTTATTCAGGCTCACATGAGGGGGAAAAAAGGTTAATCTGGCTAAACACAAGAATACACACACATATGCGTGCACCCATCACACACACACAAACTGGAGTGTAGATTACACCCATGCATGGCTACAGCATTACTTTGCTCAAAAACACTTAGATGTGTTGTATGAAATGTTATTATTCTTATGTCAAGCTGGTGATTAAAAAATAAAAGCAAGTCAAGTCAAATCAAATCATCTTCATTCAGCGGCTTGTTGCATCTTGACAAAAATCCTTTGACAAGGTAACAAGTATCCTAATAAAAGCACTACCCAAGAACCATTAGCATATGAAACATTCCATACGAGCCCTTTTTAAAGGAGACATCAAGAGGGTTGGGTATGAGTACAAGTACATGGCATTTAAATAAAATCATAACACCAACAGCTACTAACTCATGATACACCCTGTGCTCAAAAAACGTATATACGCAAGTATTGGTCTAGAGACCTAATACAAGCTCCTTTATGTGTTAAAAACAATCACAGTGTCAGAGCATGTCTGGGCCTTTTATCCAGTTTTGCGCCAGCTTCATGTGGGCATGTCAGTCTGAGCAGTCGGTTACCAAGTCAAGCTAATAGTTAAGGCCGGGACGTGCACTAACTGGTTTTGGGAGAGTTGAGCCGACCCATCAGCGCACGTGAGAGAAACATACCTCTGCATCTGTTTTTATGAGGCCAATAAAAACCCTCCTCTGTCTCGGGCTCAATTGCCACCCTGGCTGATTTATGCGCTTAAATTCACACCGCATTGCTCCATAGGAGAGGCTGGCAGATGGCCAAGAGTATGAGTGTGCTAACGTGCATGTGAGAATTGCCTTGTGTAGGAACAGGTCTACATGATAAATGTCAATGGGTTTAAGTCATACAGGTGAAGTATATTATGTCTTAAGATATACTATTGATGTGCCAACAGCATTCTGAGCGAGATGAAAATACAAACCACAAACCAGAGGCTTTGTTTTGGGTCATGTTTGAAATAGTTACAGACTGTATTACAGACGGTATGCCATGTAGTAGTCATTGTGTTTTTTGTTCAGCTTGCAAATCTATTTCTGTTTTGTTATGTATCTCTACAGCTCTGTCATCTGGTCTCAGATATGCTAAAATGCCCTCAGTACAATAATTTTGTAAGGAATCTCTAATTCACCTGGTGTGATTATTGTAAATGTAAAAATGTGTAGTTCCAAATCCCTAATTCTGTTTCGGGGATGTTAATGAAAGCATTAACAGTGGGGCTATTGAGACAATTTTTTTCTCTTTCTTGTGCAAAGGTCCACACTCCAACTGTGAATCTGTGCCCTGCACTGACACAGCATCTGATTGTAAAGATGAGCTGTGAACTGCAAAGTGGCCCTGCTTAAGTTCAGCACCGCTGATTCAGAATGCAATTCTTTCTTCTTAGTTTTTTTAAAACACAGAAACTGCTGAGCACTTTCATTGGGAGGCTCCATTTTAGAGATGGGTGGCTGTGCTTCTGTCTTTCCTTCCTTCTCACCTAAATAAAAGCCAAATCTTTACAGAGGACAGGACAGAGGAGGCCTTTGTCCGCCCCTCTCCCACCTCCCAGATGCAGCTGACCGCACTTTAAATGGCTTAAGTGGTAGAAAGTTGCAGCATACCTTTCAAATGAGGGACACTGATTTGCGGTGAGGGTAGAAAGTTGTGCTTTGGTATGTAGTGATTTTGAAATGGGAACTGACTAAATGATGTTTGATCTTTCTCGGAGCTTGTCATCACTGAGTGAGCTTTATTTTTAAAACGGGAGGGCTGTTAATGCTGCCTAATGCATGGTAAAAGGTCAAAATTAGCACAAAAAATTATCCATCATTTGTGCACCATTCTCACCTGTGTGGTGAGGGCGGGGAGGATGTAGAACTCATTTACATGCCAGGAGAATGTAAAGTATGTTCTCTAGTGTGCATGTTGATTATTCCACGTGTTTCCAGACAGGCTGTAGCCTGATACAATGGAGGGGAATGTGAAGTGTGTATTAAAAAAAATGTTAGGGTGGTGCCTGTATGCATACTTGCTGTCGTCACATGTGAACATAGAGCACAAATGAGTGCAGTGCATAAGTGTGTCTGTGTTTGTGTAACCCCACACAAAACATAGAGATACACACTTTCTACACTCTAACAGACTGAATAACGAGCAAAAAGCAGTGACATTTCGTTTAACCTCTTGTAAACCCGTCTATGAAACCTGGCACATGTCACTAGGTTTGTTACAAATGTCTGGATTAAGTTTCTGACACCACCACAAAGACAGTAAATTCCACCTTCTTAAAAACACTCCAACCTGCTCTCGCACCTGTATACTTGCTCTCAACTGTGAAAGCATGTTAACACATTTATTCAATACCAACAATATCTTGAAGTGGCCAGTGATACAGTTCACAGGACTAGATCTATTCACAAATACATTTTCAGAGCTGCTCTGAAGGAAGAAATGATCTCATTAACTCTCAATGGACGGTGCCAACAACAGAATTTTTCATAGTGCAAGTTAGCTAGCTGGCAAACTTTAATGGCATGAGATGGCTCAGGTGGGTAACAAAGTTGTTCATAAGAGCATTTTCCCAAAATTGATTTAATTGGTTAGTTAGTTAAGTTGGCTAGTAACATGACCGGCCCAGTCCCCCAGACTTGGAATTGGCTTCCCTTCGTAGCTACACAGAGGGTCCCACCACAGTTATTGTGCATCCCTCAGAAATATAACTACACATCTGGGCTACATGGAGACTAGGAAAACAGTGATTGGTCATCTGGGACTGCTTTATGTCTTCCCCACGTTTCCGCCACTGGTAGCGTTGGTTGATAATGGAGAACACTAAACAAATGCTTTGTTAACACCAGACAAAAATTGTAATGAATGAACTACAAAAGCATTTCCAGTTCTTCAATCTTGTTCTCTTTAAGAAAGTGAATAAAATAATGTTAATATGATTACTTTAGGGATATAACAGATGCTAGATGCATAACAATGCATTACAATGCATGACATCTAGTGTTGCTACAACAAGATTCTATGCTTGTTGGCATCTACAGCAGCGCCACCAGAAAATCTTGATGGAGAAATAAATCTGCTTTTATCACTTACTACTAATGCTAATGTTTATTCCAATTTGGGAATTATTTTTCTGTCTATAGATCAGCTCTGCCTCTAACAAATGTCTGAAAACTAAAACTGCAGTCTTCTAATTAGGTACTGCTGACTAACACAACTAACAAGATAACAATAAGTCATACACTATGTAAACACATGGATTACATTATCACAGGAAAACATGCACAGCGAGGGATAAAATCTCTGGTACCTGTACAGGTCGGCTGGGTGGAGTGCTGATGAGCGGAGCGGTGCCCATTGCTGAGGCTGCCGTCAGGCTGCGCTCCCTCTCCTCCTGATAGATGCGATCGCGCTCAGCCTCCGGCAGCTGCAGGAAGTTCTGCATGGCACGCAGGTTGACCAGCAGCGACTGGGACGCTGTTTTAGGGTCTTCCTCCTTACGTAGAATCTCAGACAGCAAGCCCTGCGTGAGGTGTTGGGAGGAGAGAAGGAGAAACAAAAGAGAGTAAGAAAGATGGAGAGGAGGTGATAGAGTAAGCAGAGGGAGAATGACAGAAAATGAAATAAGAGAGGAAAAGAAAGGTCAGAGCGGGAAGCAGTTGGGTGGTGGGGTCAGGATGGCAAGCAAGAACGAGAATAATCACATTACAGGATTCTTAAATAAGACACTAAAGGAGAGCCATGAGTGTAATGACAATGGAGATGTGACACTCTTAGACCCACTTAAACTGTTAAATAATTCTGCCTTTTAGACTCTATTTAGACCACAGTTTTCACTCCACACAGTGTTTCTATAGAGGTAGGAAAAGTTGACTTTTTTATTTTCTAAGTTCCTTGATTTTGACATCCCTCAGTTTCAGCTTTCTCTACAGTCAGCAGTGATTCTCTTCCTTTCATCATTATTGTTGCAATCACATAAAAGTAAACTTGAAAGTAAAAAATATATATTTCATTCTGTTCTGTTGGTTACAGCACAAGTCATAGCACTTCATCAATGTTCATTCTTGGGTGACAAAACTACTTTTGTGTGGCCTTTGCCCCATAACACTTTGTTGCATGTAATTTTGAAGATCTTGGACATATTCTTGAAGCCGTATGTTGCTTTGGAGTAAAGCCGCAGCTACTCGCCTGAAATCTTGTACAGTGGGCAATCAGTGTATCCTCGGTTTACTTTTCAATAGCGCTCAATTCCATCATTATGAGACGGCGATGACTCCATTATCAGAGATGTGTGATTGGGCCTTTTCATCAGCTCTTGGCCACACACTGTGCAAACCATCGCTCCGCTTCTCTCACCATCAATAGGTGTGATTTGGTAATAAAACAAAGTGATGGGGAATACATGCTCATGCTTTTATTTATTTATTTTATGGAGTATACAAGCCCTCTTGAGAAATGAGTAGAGCTGCAAATATGTGCTCGGTGTCATTTGTCTGACTATTAAAATGTATACAACTGTGTGTCATACTTAAAAAGGTAGGTCTGTGGTATCCAGACAAGTGTGAACAGATCCGACTCAACAGTGATGTTTTTATGATGAAGGGGACTGTGCACTTAATGCCCAATCACAGTAAGTATTCAGGGGATAGATTAGTGGCATATTTCATTTATGTTTGTACTGTGTGTGTCTGCATTCTTTAGTATGTGCGTGCTTAACATTTTTTGCCTTGTTGCTTGTTGTCTATCTATTTGGTATATGTCAGTTTACTGCATCTTCTTCATAAAAAGTGACCCCCCTCACCTCTGCTCGTCCACAGCATGTCACTACTTGACATCCCCCCACCCCCTTATTAACACAGACTCGTGGAAAAAACACACGCCTAATAAATAATCCTCCAAACTCTCCAACGGCACAATGGGCTAATTCCCCATATCAGCCACAGATAAGACTCTGTTTGTGTGGGAGCTTGCCAATCTTCACAAAAACACCACTGTCTGAATTTACCATAAAACACATTAATTTTTTTCGTGTGTGTGTGTGTGTGTGGGGGGGGGGGCTGCTGTACGTTTTAATTCTAATAGATCCACATCCGTTTCTGTTTTTTGCCCCTTTTTTTACACACAGTGTCTTCAAAGCAAATAATAATAATGATAATAGTAATGAGGTTTGCGGTCACCTCGTGCCATCCCCTCTAATACAGACGATAAGTATCTCACTACCTTCTGTGTATGAAGTGAAAACACATATTTTGGCAGGGATAGAATGCACGCCATGGCCGAGCCTGGGTCTTTCAAATGGCAAGCGGCCAGCTGTCTTGAAGTACAGTAGAGGTGCTAGATTACTGGAGTGAGAATTATGAATGAAATATAAACCAATTCAAACACTAGTATTTCTTACTAAAGAGGTGCTATTAGAATAGTTTTAGGGCTTCCTTAATGTGATGTATTCCCTTTTCAAACAGGATGTTGACGTGGAAACTTAGGCAGCGAGTGTTTTGCGCAGTTTGATTTAAAAAACAGGAATATGTAGGACACCCTGTAACTACAGATGTACTGTTTTCCAGAAAGCAGCAGTTTTTCTAGGAACTCATTTTTATAGGATTTGTGAAGGTACTGTTTGTTCTAAAAATGTTTTATTACCTTGTAAATGTCTGAGTCGGACTGCGGCATAAAATTAAAGATAAAAAATGAATTAAAATCAAATTATACAAACAAATAAATTAAATCTTCAGTCAACCTTAAATGATGAAGCAAATATTGGATACTTTTCAATCAAGTTTTGAAAATTTGACTGATATCAGTCCATGGCTACCTGAAGCCAAATTAGATCTTTATTAAAAAGGGAGCAGGAAGGGGAATGAGGCTTCAGAGGTAGCAATTTTTAGTATTGGCAATAATTTTAGTAGTGACAATGATTTTACATTTTTTGTGGTTAATGTTTTAAAGGTAGTCTTCCGTCCTCACCTGGGTTCTGTTGAAGGCCACACGGGCGAAGACAGCCTGTGAGATGCCGGCCCGCTTCAGCTCATCCCTCACCCACTGGTAAATCTCTGAGGACACCTCTGTGTTTGATGCCACCTGTGGCTCCAGGGGCTTGTTGTGGGAGCTGCGGCTAACAGGTGGGTGGTTGAGGTACTGCTGCGACAGGGACTGCTGCGCCAGCAGCCGGTTCACTGCATACTGCTGGTTCAGGATCTGAGCCATCACAAGCTGCTGGTTGACCAGCTGGGGACTGATGGGCGTGGACACCAGGCCTGGGTGGTGTAGACCGGGAAGCTGGGGCTGTCGGCCGCCAGTCTGGCCACCATGTGATGGTGGAGCGTGAGACAGCGGGGGCACTGGTGAGGAAGGAGTCTGCTCTGCTGTGCTGCCGGGGATGGGCTGCTGCTGCTGGGAGAAGCCCAGGTGGTTGTGGTTGTGGTTGTGATTAGAGCCAGGTGGAGAGAGGTCAGACAGGCCATCCATCTCTGCTTGAGGAGGGGGGAGAAAGACGAGCAACGAGAGGGCGAAAGTGGAGGGCAGAGGGGACAGAGACAGATATAAAGAAAAGGCAGGGTCCGTTATTGGCTTGATGCCTTAAAACACCACAAAGAAAACACAAACATACAAGTGCTAGAGAATCTGAAAAAAAGTTCAACCTTAACCTCAAAATCATGAACATCAGTTTAATGTCACCAGAAGAATTTAAACACATCTGCGCTGCATCTCTTTTTTTTTGCCTTGACTGAATCTTAGCCTGTCAGCATACATTTCGCTCACTTCCGTGACCTATTGGAAGGAAAGAGAATTTTGCAGCCATCACATATTCATTTCTAAAAACCTAAACCACTAACAAAAAGATACCTTCACAGGGCTCTTCCTTGCTAACTGGATATGAAACAGCTGATCAGCCAACTACTGATTAAAAAAAAGGATTGGAAATGCAGATAAAAGAGCTTCATTGTGTTTGACCTGTGTCTTCCACAACCCATGCCTTAGAAATTAAGTTCAGAACGTCTGTGGCCTCATCATGTGAAAAAAAATCTTGGGAGTGTGTGTGTATGTGAAGGTACAGAATTAATGTGTGTGTGGTTGAGAGTGTGTTTCCACAACTGCAGATGTAATGCTGATAAATCTGATTCTCCTTTTACATCCTTAATTCTAAAATAAGGAACACAAGCTAGCCAATATGACATTTTTAGGGGAGGATGGTCTAAATATAAATGTAGGGAGCAATGAACAGAGACCGAAGGAGTACAGTAGAGGTGTGTTACAGTGTGTAACCTGAGAAACATCCTTGTTTGAGTGTGCTAAAACAGACATGACTTAAACTGTCTGTATGACAAAAAGAACATCTATATATGTGCCGTCATTTGATGGAATTTTAGAGATTTTTGCGGCTTCTCTTGCTTTAAGTCCATAATGGCTGCTAGGGAATATTATAAGACAGGTTTAAATTATGTGCTTAGAGGATGAAAACAATGATTTAAGATTCAAAGTACTACCCACAGTGAAGTGAATGAGCATTTGGAGCAGCTGAATGTTTCATGCAGGGGTAAAAAATGTGAGAAGGATACGCAAGCAAAGAAATGTAGATAGAAAGTGTAAGAGGGGTCTTTTTTTAAGTTTACATGTTGTATAGATAATGTGCATTCGTCTACTGCAACAAGACGAAGATACCGACATGTACGGGCGTCACTTTGTGTTTAAAATTTGTGGGGACATAAGGGCTCAGATTAGGGCTGTGACAATACACTTATCTTACGAGAAGTGGCGATGCACCATACTTGTGTCACAAGAACGCGATATGATGATATAATAACAGTATTTTATAGAAATAATCAAAGCTGAAATATATGAGTTGGGGCTCTGGGGATCCTCCCCCAGATAATTTTGAGGATTAAACACTTTCCTGTATTCTGTGACATCCTGTTCTGCCTTTCCTACATCTTTTTATGATGGAAATGTTTTTATTTATGTAAAGGGAAAAACAAAAATCAGGTGGCAGGTGACAATTCAAAATCTATAAGTATTACAGAATCTAATGCAGCGCAGCTCTCAGGCATTTTGTGTTGCTTTCACATATGTTTCTCCTGTAGATCAACTTTTCTCAGGTAATATCAACCCTGCTGAATTTGCACACATGCAGGCATGATTTAGTCTTCACTCCTCTTTTGTCATGTTTACAGGGAGAGAACAGAAAATTTGGCCAAATAGAAACTGTGACAAGAAGTTGTTAAAGTTACTGACTGGTGCTGCACATTTTGGGGTCATTTTATAATCAGTAGCTTGTCTATTCTAACTTAAAAATGCAAATATGGTGATGGTGTATAGATAAGATGCTTGCCTTTGGTGTAGGAGACCTGGATTCAATTCCCACTGTGAGACATCCACCATTGTGTCCCTGAGCAAGACACTTAACCCCTAGTTGCTCCAGAGGTGTGCGACCTCTGACATGTATAGCAATTGTAAGTCGCTTTGGATAAAAGCGTCAGCTAAATGAAATAAATAAATGTAAATAAACCTTTCTCAGAGCACTTTCATTGGTTCTTTGCATTTCATGTTTTTCAAAGCATTTTCAACAAACGCTTTCAGTGATGGGGACACGTTTTATCCTGTTGATGTTAGAATACATTATATATCCAGGTTGCTGCCACTGCTCTGAACAATTAGCTTAGCTAACATTACTGGTTAATAACAGCGGCAAAGTTCTAAAAACTTAACATTACTGTATCTGACAGGACAGTTAACATTGTAAGCTAGCTTACATCTATCGTACATCAGGCTTGCTTTCCGACTGACAGCTCGTTCAGCAGTCTTTTACCGTCATCACGTGTTCAGCTGTCAGACTCCGCAGTACAATCTATGGTAGCGAACTAGAAAAAAAGACCCGCCCTACGCTGCCTCTGATTGGCTGTTGGGTTGAGGCAATAGGAGTTACGATTGGTTAGGCACATAGCCTATTAGGCAGAGCTAGTTGTAAAGTTGCAGAGCTCATGCTAGAGAGGAGAGGACACGGTAAATAAAACGGGTAGGCCTACATGCTGTCTGTCTTGTATGCCTGAATCTTTTAAAGGTTTCCGCCTCTCTTTAAGGAATTGACACACGCTAAGGCTTTTTGCATTCACTATGCCGAGTGAGTGAGTGAGGGGGCAGTATTTAAGAATTCATACGGATGGCAACATTAACACCTAAGAAGTGTACTGCGGCCTCCATATCCCACAGAAAAGCATCGTATCAAATTATGAGTACATTTCTGTTGGGGGGGGAGGGGGGCTTCAACAAGCTGAATTTTTCAGCAGATGAAAGATTAAGTGCATGGATGTTTTCCAAAAATACCCACAATAATCATGTATTTCAGCTGCTTGTTTCTTAACAGTCAGCAAGCACAAAACACCCAGCCAAGATGGGTCTATTGAGCGTTTGTCAAAAACAAATGGAGGGGAGGGGGGGCAAAACAAAAAAATCTTGGTAATAATCACATCTCTTCCCATAATCCCTGGCATTCCCTGGCTCTGATGGTATGGCGTGTCTATTCACTCATATGTGAATGTGTGTGTGCATATGCTCGCTCACACAGACTGCTGGGGGGCATGCTCACAACACACAAACACACAGGCACACGGAGGCATTTCCATGCAAATTGAAAAGAGAAGGGGTGACAGAAGAGCATGGCAGGCCCTGGGAGAAAAAGGCTGCCACAGAAGCGGGAGTCCTCGTGTGGAATCCTGCCACAAAAGAGTCCCGGATTAAACACACAATGGGAATGGGATGTGGGCTGAGGGAGGGAGGGAGAGAGAGTGAGAGTGTGTGTGTGTGTGTGTGTGTGTGTGTGTGTGTGTGAGACTATGAGTGAGACAGAATGAGAAAGAGAGACGTACAAAGTGACCCAACTCTTTCCCCTGCGTTCACTTCCCTGCACTGGCGTTTCCACATCAAAAGAAGAGACGACATTCGCTGGTGGCCAGTAATACCACTTCAGCTGGCAGAGCAGCAGAGTGGCTTGCCAGTTCCTGTGACCAGGTACTTATTCCCCTTGACTTCAGGCTCAAACTGCTTGCTAAATGCAGTGTGGTGAAGCAAATGCAGAGTCACATTTGACGCCACTGTCAAAGTACAAAGGGATGACCGTGCCACACTTTCTTTCAGCCTTGGCATTTCACCATTTGTGGCCACGTACAGCAGGTAACAGCCCGTCATGAATATTGAGGTTAGGGGAGTTGCCGCAGTGTGCGGTGGGCACCTGAAGCTTGTGTGCCAAGGTTTTGTGTCTGAGGTTTGGCTAACATGGCGCGTAGGTGCTAGAGTTTGTATGAATCCTGAGATGTTATCAGTGCTTCTGTGTATATACATTGGTGGTTTTGTTATCAGGGCTTGAATTCACCAAAGAGTGATACATGAACGTGAAAAAAGATGAACAGCTTATACTTTCTTTAAGTTGAAAAGTGACATTATGTTGTGGGTGTGATAATGTTGTCATCACTTGTTGTTTTTTTATGTGACTTTAAAGCACGATTTGGTTTTCGGATTAAAATTATGATTTTAATTGACATTCATTTTAGACAAGACAGGCATTTAACATTAAGCATTAAGATTAGGTATCAAGGAAGGAATTTAGCTCCTCACAAGTTAGACACATCTGTGTGTGTGTTTATGTATTTTTGTGCCAAATATATCAAAATCAGTTTACATAGTCACATTATTACGACATAAACCTGGTTCACACAAAGTAAAGCACAAATGTTTAGGGTTAAAGCTTGTTTTTTCAGGTAAGTCAGGTAAGTTTGAGTCAAAGCGACAGTAATGGGTTAAGCGTGTAATAGTTATGGTAAAGGTTATGGTAAGTTTCCATTTATGCCAGTTCAATGTCCTCCAAAGTAAAAAAACAAAACAAGAGTGTGTTTGTATGAATGCCCATGTTGCGACATACCTAGTGCATTGGCACGCGGGCTCTCACGGAGGACACACGTCCCCAGGTAGCCCTCCAGCTGGGAGGGTTGGCGCATGCCTGCACAGTGGTATGGCAGAACACGCACATGCACACACACACACACACACACACACACACACACACAGCATACAGTGTAGAGTAGTGAGGAAAGAAGACAGGGTTAAGGCTTTCTACAGTACTTCTCTCCCACTCCAGGTAAGCAGAAATGTGACATTTAAAACACGAGCATCACTAAGGCCTTCCTGGCAGCTGCAGCAGACCCATTTTTTGAGGAAAATAAAAACCAGATAGAAAACAATTATGACAGAAAATGTGTAGGAGTATGCAAGAGAATACACAAGTGCAGCAGGTCTGAAGTAAATAATGTTCCCAGCGTATGTTGCCACTTTAACAGAAGAAAAAAAACATCAGATAAGATATGATCACAACATACTATTTGCATGTAGGCTGTGAAAACATTTTGATATAATATCTCATCTGTCATCACAGCGAGCAGTAGCGCACTGGCAAAGAAAAAAAAGATTGTTCAACAGATTGTTAAAGCTAATATCTCAACATTACACTGCCTTATGAGCCTTGCAAAGAGTGGTGTTCGGCTTAATCATAAGACATAAAAATATATCGCAATTCTATCTCCGGGTAGGGTGCTACTAGGATCATATAACCTCATTTCCTGGAGGGTCAAAGGGGATTTTTTTGAGATAATATAAAGCATGCGTTGTTAGAGGGTTGATAAGAAAAACTAATTGAATTTCAGACTAGGCGGTGGCCAGTTGAAGATATTGCTGCCTCTTGTTCATAGAAAACTAAAGCGTTGTACTCACAAACAAAAATAAAACAGTAAGAAGCCTCAATTTGACTCTTGCATTAGTGTTATTTAAAGCAATAATGGATACATTAAAGATAACACTGTGTTCAACTGCAAAACAGTGTGGAGATAATCTTGAATTATTAGATAACAAGATAAAAATGTATTTCTGCTTCATGCAACAGCAGGAAGACAAAGAGACGGTTGGTTAGAGAACATATTGTATTGGCGAGTGGTGTGTATGTGTGTGAATGTGTGTGCGCGCACAGAGACAAAAGTATGAACGCCATACTTTGCGCCCCTCCGTTTTGCTTACCCATCATATCTTTTGTCTTCTTGAAATGTTTATACCAGCGCCCAAATTCCTGACACTTCGCCGCCGACACATTTGCATAGTAAGTGCTGTTCACAATGGAGGAAATCATACTCTGAAAGAGAGAGATTGATTGAGAGGGAGAGAGAACGAGAGAGAGACTTTAGATTCTCATTGTGGAAAATACAGACATAATATTAAACCTTGTGAAACATGCAGTAACACTGTAGCTTGTCAAAACAAATAAAAGATAGGGACACGGTAAAACCCAGCACTAAAAAAAGCCAACTGAAAAGTATCAGACATGCAGAAATTTTGGATCCCCTCTGCTAAAAGGTAAAACAAATTAAATCAAAAAAGGCTTTATCTATTGTTTTTTATCAAATGCCGTTGAGTTTGATTTTTTTTTATTTTAGAGTGGGTAAATTACAAGGTCAACTGAGTTCTGAGTCTGTTGACATCAAGAGCAGGCGGCAGGAAATATATTTACCTTCAAAAGGAAAGAAGATAGTGGCTTATTGAATATCAGCATCTGGGGAGTTGGGTGATGTAAACAGATAAACCTCTTATTTTTCAGCGCTTTATTTATACAATCTGTTTAAGACAACAACTTCAAGCAGATAGAGGGCCGCACTGAGCATGTCGTTCTCCGACGCACATGTGCTCCTATCTCCCCCTTTAGAGTAGTCTTTGCCCTCTCTACATTTACTTCAACTGTCCTTCTTTCGCCTCAGAGAAACAAAGAGGCGTTTTTTGTTTTTTTTTCTGCCTTCCAGTTTCATTAAAATGAATGTTTTAACACCTTGCCGGCCTCCAGGCAAATAGCGAGGTTGGTGCAGGAGAAATTGTTTTTGATTGTTATAAATATTCAAAAGAACCAAACCATCTGTTTTCAAATTACAGGTATGCCATCTTTATCATTTTCATATAATATATGCTTGGAGGATGGCGGGGGAACCTTCTGGCAGAGCAGCATGGCAGTGCAAGCACAATGATCTGGTACAGGATGATTCTGGTTCCCTGGCTCCAGCTTTTCTGCACAAAAGGAGGGTAAAGGGTGGCAGTTGTGCCGTCAGAAAGGTCGATCTAACTCTGGACTCCTGACCTCTCTATTAAAGCTGTATGCACCTTTTGTGATGGCACCACTCCGAAATCTAACACATGAGAATGCACCAAAAAAACAAACGCGGGCAAAGTTCATTGGAGGATCCAAAACAGGCAAGATGGACACAAGTTTCCTTCGTCAAACTGTGGCAAGGAGGGATCTTCTTGAGGATGAACTAAAGCAAAAGGTAGTCAGCTTTAAGCATTAATTTAACCATCTTCACATGTTTCCTCCTCCTACAAAGAGTTACAGAACAAAACATTGCTATTGGGACGTTAAGGGCTAATAACACCACACAAGAGTTTATAAAAGCTAGAGCTCTCAAAGACATTGACTGAGCTAGACGCAAAGATCTTGGTGCAATAGTATTAAAATGAAACTAAGAGGACACAAGACAACTAAATGTAGAGGAAGAATTCACGTATGTGTGCCGCTGTTCACCTTTCTACAAAGGTCACAGAGGTTGCCAACCTTAACTACTCGTCATCATGGCGTGACTCGCCATACCTGCTTGTACCAGGTACAGTCAACCTTGCTTGCACTTTGTCACAACCATTTAGCTGCTTTTATTTACGAAGTCAAATATAAGCAAGTGGGGCGAGAGTCACGTTGGAGACTGCAGATGGATGTAAATTTGTGCCAACCATGCTGTGCTGCATCATGCCGTCATAATGAAAAACAGAAGGGTGAAGAGGTCTGCTTTGGACTTGCATGGTGTAACAAAGCAGTCTTTTATAGATATACTGAAAAGCCGCCATTCAATGAAAACCCTGATAGAGTTCAGGTTAGGGTTAGGAAGTCAGAATGGCCCTTTTAATGGGTCATACATTTATTCATGAAGCAGCTCCTTCTTTTGGATTTATGTAATATTGGCATTAGGAAACAGCAACTGCTAGTTCAGCCTTCTATGGTTTTAAAATGATAATTCCTGTTTGTTCATTGTGATGTGCAAAAGCCTGTGTAAATCATAATTAATGGTTTGGTTCTGGACTGGAAAAAAAAACAACAAGTGTATATTTGGGATGACGGTTGGTAGAGCAGCAAATCCTACATTCCAGTCTCACCTGGTTCCGGTAGCCAACTCCCAAACCAAAGATATATATATATTAAAAGTAAAAAGAATTCTCATTTAAGCCAGCAGGATAATGAACTCCTCTCCTCCAGCCTGCCATGTTTTATTTACAGTATATCTGGGCTAAGGCTGCTCCAGGCAACAAACAAGAGGCCTGCAGAAGACGGTGTGCCTTTTTCTCTCTCTCTCTCTCGTTCCCTCATTCCCCGCCATCTTTGACACAGATGTTCTAATAAACGCTCCTCATTAATCAGCCCTCTCCCTCAATACATCACTCTACCTCTCACAGGGGGCCCTGTGTGTATGTGTGAATGAAACAATACACACACACACACACACACACACACACCTATTCTCTCTCTCTCACTCTCCCCACTGCTCTGTCACACACACATGCATACGCACTAAGTGAAATCAAGCAGATAACCAGAGCCTCTGCTGCCACTGCGGTGCCAGCAGGAGGGCTGTGCTAGGGCTTGTCAACAGGTAGCAGTGTGTGTGGGTGTGTGCGCGAATGAGCATGTGTGTGGACCCTTTAAGTGATAGCCATCTGCAGCACAGAGAGCTTATCAGCAAGACCAGGAAGTGGCACTGGGCTACTATCGGTCCCTAGCATCTACTCCACTCCCCATCATGAGAGACAGGAAGAGAGAGAAAGAAGGAGGGAGTGTGTGCGTGTGTGTGGGTAAGAGAATAGCAGTGCAGCAGGCAGGTACTGTAGGCACCCAGCTGCCAGCGTTAGAGTGTGGTGCACACACTGGCAAATGCAAACACACACAAAGTAGAACCCCTGCGGACAAACACACATGGTGTAGTTACACAAATGCACACACACACAATTAAGTACACACACACACATAAACGCACACATTCCAACTTAGCCTGATGTCTTGAATCAGATAGGGAAAAGCGAATCCCATTTGCAACACTGTGCCTCGTCTCTCGCCAACACCTAACACAGCTCAATTATGGCACATGCCTACCTCAACTGGGGTGACCCCCCCCCCCCCCCCCTTCAATCTAAGACACACACGCACACACACAAACATACCCTGGCAACCAGGTTGCGCCTATGGCAGCCGTGGTGGTGAAGACCTGCAAAGATGGCATTTTGATGACTATTTGCTGCTACGCAACGCAGCAGCTGGTGCATCAGGGGCCGCCCAGTGAGAGTGAGCAGGGGGTGGGCAAGAAGAGGTTGTGGCAATGAGAAAGAGTGGTGTGAGGGGGGGCGGGGATCTCGTTTGTTGCCATAGTTTCTGCGAACATGGGTAAGGGGGTTGCTAAGCTTGCTGGCAACATCCGAAATAAATAATAATAAGCCTGATCGGCTGATTGAGGCAGCTTCAGGAGAAGTTTTATTTTGGCGCTGCTTCTCCGAGCCATTAGCTTTGAATCTTGAAGTTTGCTTCATATGTGTACAGGTCAGAATCAGTTCCTCTCGCGGAGTGACAATGGGCATTAAGTGAATGCATTTTCTCTTTCTAATTCTAAGTTTCCCCGTGCCATTTGTAGGCCAAACACACAAAGCGTGACTCCCTGCTACAAAGGAATGAAACTAAATGTTTGACAAGGCTCCAGACAAAAACAGCATTTCACAAGAAACCCTCTACCCCCTCTCTTCAGAGCTGTGTTCAGAGGTGGTCTAATTCTCTTTCACTCACTTTTTGTGATTCTCTCATCTGTTAACCTCTCTTTTCGGTCTGGGATTACGCAGCAGAATATCAAGGAAACACTAATCCTTAAAAGGTGCCAATCTTCTGCTCCCTCATGCAACACCCCTTTCCCCCCTCCCACTCATTTCACTTTTTTGGTCAACTCATGTTGCGCTCCATTTGACATGGGAAGTTGGAATTTCTGATTTCAAAGTTGGAAATTGGCACTACCCTGACTTTGTGATCCAAGATGGCTGCTCAGCGTATCAACAGTTAGTGAAAGCTGTAGTTTGTACTGTTTATTAGCACTTCTGTGTACTTGTGCCTCAGAAATTTTCATACACAAATTGCTGTCCAACTGCGTGTGGACGTGTTGCAACAGTGTTTAGTATGAGTAAATACCGCACAATGTGTTTTTTTTTATCAACCGGCATAACAATGGTTAATCTGGCTAGTTGTAAACAATGGCTGGCTGAGCAAGGTTTTCCAACTTGTTAACTGGAACGGCGTCAACTCGGGTATTCCCAGCTCAGACCTCCGCCTTCTGAGGTAAATGAAACACACCATCAGAAACATAAGTGGGTGGGCCAAAAGCAGGCAGTGACGTCACTAGTCACATGACAGGGAGTCTGTGAAAAGAGGCAACGTGGGGACATATCTCATACATGACAACCTGTCTACGAAACCATTTCAGTAGGAACAAACCACCACTCTATGGGTGTAGCAGGCCCCGGGTCCCACAGAGGAACAGATGTCAAACAGCATCATGGCAGCCTGTTTGAACGTGGCAGATACAGATCCATGTAGATCATCAGGGTATAAATTAACTAAGAAGAAAAGCTGCAAGTTTCTCTTTAAATTACATAAAAAATGAAAAAACACATATGGAAAATTCAATAAATAATAATTGAATTTAAATAAAATAATGTCTAGGCAAAATTTAATAATACAAAATAAGATTTAAAATCAAGGCTTTAGCTGAAACTTGGCTCAAGAGCAATTAAAACATATGGTTTTATGTGATATCGGTACTCTACATACTGTTTATAGTATACCATATAAAATCGTACTAAAATTTAACTAGTACTAAACACTGCTTTCAAATTCGATACAGCTATGCATTCTTTTGATTCTGATTTTAAAAAAACATTTACTGGCTGAGATGCATAACAATGAGAACAGAGGAGAAAGATGAAGATTTACCACACTGCAAAGGATGAAAAAAATAACATGTTAAGTGTTTGCAGTGAGCGAAGCTACCAAGAATCGACAATGGCTGGCAAGACTTTCTGCATGACAGTAAATGTAAGACCATTTAATGCCATTTGTCATCTGAATTTAGGACCAAATTGGCTGCTAAAATACATTCAAGAAAGAAAGAAAAGAAAATTCAGTTCAAGATATTTTCTGGATCCTCTTTCATCCTAACTGGAAAGCTAAAATAATCTTCAGTTTCATTTGCGACTAGTTTGTAGGTGAAAATAGCAAATGTGTGTCAGAGGAAGTGTGTGTGCGCTTGTGTGTTAGATCCTCTGAGCTTGCGCGTGCTCTCTTCTGAGCTGTCTTCACATATGGACCGTAAACAGGGTGATTACCAGACCGGGCTGGGCTCCGCCTGAACGCCACCCAGGGACTCTTTACATCATCAGCGCACTGCTCATGCCCGGCTAAACACACAAACACACACACTGAGAGCAGCCACTCACTCTCACACACACACACACACACACATATACATACATACATACACACACACAGTGCAAATGAGGGTCTCCAGGTGACCATAAGGTGGCCTGGGAGGAGAGCTGGCTTGATACTGAAGGCACCTACGCACATGCTTGGATCTAAATACATACACACGGAAAACACAAGACTTCCACGTACACGTCCTGTACGTTGATATACATTTCACAAACATACTCAAGCAAAGACACACACACATCTCCTTGCACTATAACACACAGACACACATACATTATTGGCCCCTGTGACAGATATACTGCAGTTTCATTCCATTCACTCCAGAGCTGCCTCCATGATATACTGACTACACTGCCTGTTAATACAATATCTGCGCTAGTGCTTTCTATCCAACCTCCCAGCTGACAAAAAACACAGAATATAACACCTAACGTGAACGTACGCATCTCCAGCCTGATGCTAGGAAATGCTGAGAATTAACTGAATGAGAAAAAGAACAAAAACAATCCAGATCGTTCTGGGTTCGGGCCAGTGTTTATCTAACAATAACCATACGTTCAATAACACCTCTGCTTTTTGGCTACCGTTGCATGCAAGTCTCTGTGTGTGTGTGTGTGTGTGTGTGTGTGTGTGTGTGTGTGTGTGTGTGTCGGGGGTGGTAAAAGAAACAAAAAAAATCATGCGGCAAACAAACGACAATAGCCATTGATTCGGATTTTCTATGCCGATTCTCTTTCCCACTTGATCAAACTCAGGGCATTTGATAAGTAAAAGGATAAAAGACAGAGGTGATGGAGATAGGGGGGTTTGTTTTGTTTGTGCAGAATAGTAGAAGGGGGGTAGGGTTGGGCGTTAATCTTTTTTTTTTTTCTGGGGGAATAAGCAGACTGGGCTTCAGCACCTGTGATAAGGGACATTCTTTAGCCAGAGAGCTCTGATTCATGTCTTTGAGTAACTCCTTGAGGGCGTTTCTTACTGTAGAGTGGCTCCATTGCTCGGGTGGCAGGTCCTCCAGCTTAGGACAACTGTGGAGAGAGAGAGGAGAGGAGACATACGGGGGTGTGGGGTGGACGGGGACAAGGAAGATAAGATAGGGAGAGGAAAGGGGGGGATTGATAGGGATGTACAGGGAGGGGGGAGAGAGGGGTGAGGGAAGAGCATGAGAACCAATTCAGATGGAGAAGAGACAAAGATAGAAAGGAAAGCCAGCAGCCCTGATGGTATCTTGAATGAATTGATAAAATACACAAGCCACAATTTCAGCAACACAATATTAAAATTATTTAATCTGGTTGTAAAGGTTGGATATGTCCCTGATCTATGGAGCAAAGTGGTAATAACACCAATCTTTAAATCTGGAAATAAATTCGACTCAAACAACTACTGAGGCAACTTGGGGAAGTTACCCTGCAGCATCCTTAACACCAGACAGCAATACTTCCTCATCCAACATTATTTATTTTCTAAACAGCTTTGGCCTGATCCTAAAATTGATTGCAAATGGAAAACATATTACATAATTAAACACTGTATAAAAACATCAAATGTAGATTATTGTTCATTATTGATTAATCTGTTGATGATTTGTTTCTATTAGGTCAAGCAATCGTGTAGTCCTTGTCAGAATACAGTTTAAGTTACCGGAGACCAAAATTACATCTTGTTTTTATCCAACCAACAGTCAAAACCCCAAAGATATTCAATTTATAATGATTTAAATCAGAGAAAAGCAGCAAAATCCTCACATTTGAGAAGCTGAAACTAATGAATGCTAGGCATTTCTACTTGATAATCAAATTATCAAAATTGCCAATACATTTTCTGTCAACTGTTTTATCGATTAATCAACTAATAATAATACAAACACTGAGTGTTCTGTTAAGAATTGGCAATTTGGGAACAGATTACTTCGCTCAAAACAGAGGTTTAAAACCGGGTTGCAATAGTAGTCCAAGCCTGTTTAAAATGTATATTGATGAATTAGCCAAATCACTGGAACAATCAGACAGACAGAGTGGTAGAGACAGAGCGAGGAAACCAGAGAGAAAGAGAGCTGAACACACATGGGCTCCCGCTCTTTTTTCCTGCTGCAAGCACCCCTCCAAGACAGACAGATTTCATTTGGCGCATCAAGCAGATGCATCTGGAGATTGCTCTGTCTCTCTCTCTCTCTTTGCCTGCCTCACTCCATCTCCCTCTTTCATATTCTCCCTCACTCTCTCTCCCTTTCCCTCTCTCCTGATTGTTCTGATTAGTTAATTACTTTATACAACACATCTGCTGGATTGATGCATGAATTATACATCAGCTGCATGTGGCGACTATTATTTCGTGTTACTTCTACCTTCCTGGCTCGTTGTGCTCGGCGAAACAATTTAAGGTGTTACTGGCTAGATTTCTGCGGCAGTCGGGGCAGGGGAGGGGGTGAAGGGATGGTGGGGCAGGGAGAGAAAAGGGGAAAAACAAATACAAAACAATAACAATACTGACAACAAATATGCAGCAAAATCAAAATAGATTTATATATCAAATAAATTGGCTTTGACATTAGCTGGTGTCGTGTGCCGCAGGAATTCAGTTCTACCGATTTCTTACCGACACTCGATTTCTGAGTTTTGAAAATGAGAAATATATTTACACGGTGGGTGCGAGTGTGGAGTAACAAAACTGAGCACCAGTGAGAGCGGCTAGTTTGCTCTAGATAAACACTTCACGTGGGCCAGACATATGTTCAATGTATTTCGCATTGCATATTTCACTGAATTACTTTTCGTTAAAACTGCCTTGACACTTGACAAGTGAGAGATGAGAGACTGAGTGAGGGCTGATGAGTGAACAAATGCATGAGACATTTGTGTGTGTGTGTGTCCATAAATCTATCAGTCGATGTGTTGGCAACGTTACAAGCAAGGAGATAACCGAGTGAGTGGCATAGAAAAGGATGTGTGCAACGGTCGAGGCTAACATCTGCTTGAAGCAAAAGACACAACCTCACACACACACAAACAATGGATTTTCCAGAACACCTTAAACTGCTCCAGCAGCCAGAAAGCCTCTAGGGAGAGGGAAGTGAACAAGAGGAGGGAAGGAGGGATAGACATAAAGGGGTAGTGGAGAAAGACAGCTATCCATGCATTCAGGGCTAGCATGCCAGAAATAAACACAGCCTTCTGTATTTTGTGTGTCTGTGTGTGTCTGTGTGTGTGTGTGTGTGTGAGTGAGAGACAGCTTCACTGGTAAAGTTGGGTAGTGGTGATGTGGTGTGTGTGTGTGGGGGGGGGGGGGTACAGAAGGAGAGGGGAGAGAGAGGAAGAGGCAGAGCAAGGTAGAAAAAGAGTAGGAACAGCAGCTGGCACAAGCCTCCGCACCAGCGCCACACGGCTGTTTGTGTGTGTGTGTGTGTGTGTGTGCGCGTCTGCGTGTCTATGAGCATATATGAGCCTGTTTGTGTCCATGTCTATAAATGCTTGTATGCTCTCGCTGTGTGTATAAATACAACGAAGCCTCACACCTACAGAGCAGCATTTAGCGTACAATATGGTGAGTGATGGAACAAGACAGCTCGCAGTACTCAGTGTAAGAAGGTTTTAGCCTGTTAGTCTCCTTTATTATAAGCAATGTAGATTCAGGAGAAATATTTTTTACCTAAAATATCCAGAGCGGCCAGGTTTATCTATGAACTATTTCAGGTGAACAACCTTGTATTCATCTGCTGCAGAGTCATTTTTAGCCATAGGCAGTCTCCAGTTGCCCACCACATTCATTTTTTTATGAAAAGAGCTAAAGTAGTGCTTGGTTCTAAAACATTTTACCAATCTCCGATGCAAAAATGTCAATATTATCTGCATATTGGTTAACATCACCAAGTATAGAGCAGCTCAAACAGATACTGTACATCTACTTACTCACTCACCACACTGCAAGCTAAATTGTTAGCATGGATGCAAGGATTATTTTTTCAATCTGTGCTGCCATCACTTAATGGGTAAATTGACAAATAAACCAGTCTGTGTTTCTTTAGCGCCATAAGTCGAGGAAGTTTTTGATATTCAGATAGTTTTTTCCCCATTTCCAAACGTCAGTCTGTTGTATGTGAATAATAATGCCATCCTCAGCATCATACATGCAGAGGGCATCAGCAGACTGGCACCTGCCTCTGGGCATACAATACATGCTAGTTGTGTTGTGAGTGTTGGACTAAAAGGTAAAACTGTGCTTCTATATGTATCAAAGCAATCCAATACTGGTGTGTCTGTGTGTGTGTGTGTGTGTGTGTGTGTGTGTGTGTGTGTGTGTGTGTGTGTTTTAGCTTATGACACTGCACATTTGTGGATCGTAGGCAGGTAAAAAAATAAAAAAATAAAAATGTATGAACATCTACACACATACTTTCAAGTGTGTGTGTGAATCATAACGTCCCAGTGTGCGCGTTTCTTACCTGTGCAGCTGGATCTTAAGCGTGACAACGTGGTAGACGTCCTGCAGCATGTCAGCCACTGTAGCATCCGGTGCGTCTGTCACGTATGACAGGGGCACGGGGTTCCACTTCCCCACCTGAATCATGCCTAGATGATGCAATATGCACAAATGCGCACACAAATAAACATGGACACGCATAGGAATAACGACAGGTACATGGACACACAAAAACACAAACAATGGACGCAAGAGCAGACATAAAAAGAAGTGAGTACATCAGCACAAAGCTGTTACTGACCACACATTTTAACTATTTAACAGTAACACATGCACAGTAAGAATAAAGCCATGAGTCGCCATCCCAGAGGCATTTTGGTGACCATCGTATTTTTTCATTTATTAGTGAAATCTCAACAATCATGAGAATTTCTCCTGAGAGTGCCTTAAATATAAGTGGACGCACAAATAACAGGAAGTAAGCTTATGGGAGAGGTGGACTATGATATGTGTGTGTGTGCGTTTGTGTGTGTGTAAGGGGGACGGACAGGCTATAATAAAAGAGCATGCTAAGAGGCACCTTGAAACAGCCACCCTCGGCCTGCGTGTGCTCAAGTGCAATTAGAAGAACCTTTCCTCCACCTGCCCCTCCCACCCACTGAGTCACTGAGTATATGTGCGTATAAATATATACAGTATGAGTGTGTGTGTGTGTGTGTGTGTGTGTGTGTGTGTGTGTGTTACTTGCTTATATGCACAGTGTATGAATGTGCATGTAAACACAAGTGTGTAAGCCTGTGTATTCATACATCTGTGTGGGAATGTGTGTGAGTGTGTGACCCCTGAGACTTGAGCATCTCCTGTCTGGGATCAGTGTCAGGATGCATTACTGTGGCTTCAGATCTGCTGGCGGAAGGCTATTATAGTCACACAGTGTGTGTAGCTTTTGTGTGCGAGTCAGGCATAAAGAGTGCACGTTAACAGAAGTAACAGCATGTGAAAAAATGCTGTAGAGAAGATGTTAATGAGCATTAGAGAGATCAAGTGGCAGAACAGAGAAGAAAATTAAGAGATGATAATGAGAATCAATGAGCGACTTCACTGGTTACCTTTGGCCTGGGCCGCTGAGCTGTGGGAGTAGCCCAGTGACAGCAGGGCCATCTCGATGAGCTGGTTGAAGAGCATGTCCTTACGCACCAGGACGAACTCGGCATGCTCCTCCTTGCTATCAAAATCCATGGGATTCTCATAGTGCTCGACCACACAGAACACAGGCAGCATGTTGCCTGAGGACATCGAGACACAGAGACAAGTGAGAACTAGAAGGGTTCACATTTCTTCACGTGTAGACTTTGACCTTCAGTATTCTGCGTGTTTGTGGAGGGATTAATATTTCTCGCTGATGATTAAGTTACACTGAGGTTGAGTGTCAAGGGATTATGAGTGAGTGAATAGATTGCTGCTAAGTGGAAGTTCTGTGCAGAAATGAAGTAAAACAGGAGTTTGGACCACAAAGGCATTTTTTCCTTTTATAGGGCAATTTCTATTTAAACCCTCACCTCTTTGTCTCAATGCCCAACACTCAAGGAACAACGCAAGGAATCAAACACTCCTGAGGTGACCCGCACAATTTCAGAGACTGAATTTGTTCCATTTCTTTCATTTAGAAATGCTTTCTTTTGTCATGTAATTTCCATGATCTTTTTCAAAGATGGTTCTTCCATCTGTAATCCCATTTTAAGAAGCTTTTTTTAATCAGCTGTTAGAGGATTCCTTCCTGCAGTCTTAGGTTCATCTTCCAGGTTTTAAGATGATGATACATCAATACAATACAGAGACATTGCACTATGGCATGCAATGATTAGTGTGAGTTGTGTGTTTATTAAGTATTATACTGTTCGTATGTATCATAGAAAGAAGTATCACTTTTAGTTTGGTGTGAACAAACATGAAGGAGCCACTAAAAATCCTTCAACCTTTGAAACAATAAACATTTTATTAACCATTAAGGCTGTGGGCTCACATTAGCCTTTCTTTCTGCCTGTCAACCCAAAAACATCTTCCCATGATGCAGCACTTCAAATCCCAAGCCACCTCTGCACCCTGAGGTATACTAGTCTGTGTCAACAGTGGCTGTGCTTTTAGGTGGTATGAGCAATCCTTGTCCAAAGACTGTCGAATGTTCAAGGGAGCTACTGTGCAAATATCACCCAATATGCCATTTTTCCTAAAATAACATCCTTGAAATTTAAGAAAGTTTAAGGGCATGGGGCGGACTTGGCCTTTTGAAGTCTCAGTCTGAAAGAAACCTACAGAGGGAAATCAAAATTTTGTTAAAGTGTTGATGAAGAGGGTATCTATAGCTTACAGTACTTAGTAAATCCTACGCTGTTTATGAGATGCCCTGTTGCCCTACTTTCTCAGTATGCCTCCATTCTACTATTACCTGAACACATTTCTGCACATTTATTGTGCTTGCTGATTAAAATGATTCACATTCTAATATTTTCCAAACCCAGGCATTCCAGAAGATGCACACAGCTCTGGCAAAACAATCAATAAGCCGACAGATGCCAGGGAATGTGCTGAAAGAGCTGCTTTTCTCCTCCCCCGATTTTAATAGATAAAGATCTAACAATAAAGACTGCTGTGTAGGTTCATTTGGGGGATCAATACTGGCTTTGTTTCCAGGGAGCCCAGAGAGGGCTGCGGTAAATATTGTTTCGGGCTCGGACACAATGCCCACTGTGGGCCCTCTGCGAAGCCTCCGCCGCGGACCGCCCGCCTCCCTCGCCTGCTTCACCCTTTACCCAGGAAGAAACCAAAAAAAACAAACAAAAAATGATGAAAGGGAAGAGGAGGAGAGAGCAATGAGGAGGCTTGGAGGAACAAACGTCGTAGGAGGCCAAAAGAAGCAGAGATGATGAAGGTGAAAAATTAGGCTCTCTCAGCTGGCGTGCAACACGTAGATTAAAGGAGCAAATAAGAGAAACTGCCCATCTGAGGACACTCACACAGCCACATTCCAAAAGTTCCTGAGTCCCTCTTGCCCAAAGAAAACCAAACCGGCCAAACAAACAAACAAACAGATGAGCGTTAGCTGCCAAATGCTATTACATCCCCAAACCTGCAAGTTTTGAAGCTCATTTCCAACCCACAAAGAAAAGAAAACATAGAAAAACATGATCATAAAAAGGTTCATATTTTGGATAGCTTTGCCCGCCGTGTTTTTCACGAGACGACACAAGTTATATTAAAAAGCTATGTCATAATCATGAGTAAAGGCTCCCTTTAAACAGGAATTGCTCTTAAAGGACTGAAACTTCCCCTTAATAAACAAATGTCGGAGCGGGAGGGCTGAAGGAGCAGTGACACAGCGATATGCAGCACGACACAGGAATAATTCTCACAGTGCTCTTCTATTAACTATTGTCTGGGCAAATCAGTGGGAGTGTGTGCAGTGTGTATGTGTGTTTGTGCTGAGATAACTAAAGAAGCATTGTAAAAAGGTTTAAGAGTTTTGGAGAGCGTGCAGGGGGTGTTGGTGGTGGTGGTGGGTGGAAGGTGGTGTGTATGTGTGTGGGGGGGCTATTTAAAATGCATTTAGTTTTCCTCTGTTAACATGGTTTATTCTCCTCTTACTCGTACTTTGTTTCACGATCAGTTTGTTCAGAGTAGGGCTGCAACTAAGGAATACTTCCTTTATTGATTTATTTGTCAATTATTTGATAAATTAATAAATTGTTTAGTCTATAAAACGTCCGAAATGAGGGCTAAACCAATTATTATCTCCATTATGGATTATTTTCTCGATTAATAGTCAGAAAATAGTGAAATATGTTCATGAAAATATCTCCAAAAGTAACATATTCAAAATTGCTTGTTTTGTCCAACCAACAGTTCAAACCCCAAAATATTTAGTTTTCTGTCACACAGGAAAATGAAAAGCAGCAAATCCTCACATTTGAGAAGCATGTTTGGTATTTTTGCTTGAAAAATTACTTGTTGGTTGGTGATTAGTATTCTGAAAACTAACTACCAATTAATCCTGAATCATCTCCGCTCTGTCAGAAATAGTGAAAGGAGCCCCTCACAAATTTCCTAGAATTCAAGGTGATGTTGCCCAATAAACAGTCCAAAACCCACAAATTTACAATCATCGCATGAAGTTGAGAAAATGAGTAAATCTTCACATTTGAGATGCTGAACGCAGCAGATGTTTGGCATTCTTGCTTTCTGAATGACAAACATTAAATAAATCAAACAAAATTGTTCTTGAGTCATTTTCTTTTCATTGACTAAACAAATCCCCTAATCTCTCTCACACTCTCCCTCTTACCTCTCTTGTGACAGGTCTTTAGCAGGTGGCCGGTGGGTTTGTAAGGAACCCCGGCTAGTTTGGCCCCGGTGCTGCCCAGCCTGACCCGGCCCAGGGGGCTGCCGTTCTGCTCGAGCCGGGGCAGCTTGGCAGGCGGGGCCTTGGCCTCCCCCATGCTGTTGACCAGCTCAGAGTTCTCCTTGCCTAAACACGCCTCGCTGAGATGGTCCATCATTCTCAGCACCTCTGCTCACTATCACCTGGGGAGAGAGACACAAAATGATTCAGCTGTCAGCGGAGATATGTGTGTGGCATAAAAGAAGCACAGCTATAAGGTGATGCGAGGGGAGCAATGAACACAAAATCTCGTGTGTTGATATCACTGACATGTGAAGACGTGACGGGACATTTTTATAGAGCAAAAAATGTGCTTTAAGTAATTGAAACCTCTGAGAACAGAACCATTACGGCAATAACTGTCAGTTCCTTCAGCTGTGTTCACTTGGACCACGGTGACGTTTTCGTGCCGCTCTAAAGTTCCCATTTTTCAACACATGTATTATGTATGGGTGTCCCGTTAGAGATTCCCCTTGCGAGAGGGAGCAAACAAGCTCTGGTTTTAGTGCAAACACATTCATTTGCTGGGAGATTCCACTTGAATGACTACAGTGCAGTTCAAGGAACAAGGTTCTGTTGCGGCGCACGCAGAGAGGGGAAACTAACATAATTCGGTTTCTGAGTCACTTCGTGTGGCTTCACGTTCATGACGCAGCTCGGAGGGAAAAGGAGGCGAAAGGCCGCAACGTCATTTTGCTGACAGACACACGCACACACACAGACAGCTACATGACTTTACAGGTGTGAACTGATATTGCAAGTGCAGAGCGATATACATGGCAAGCAAAAAGTTTAAAACTCTTGGGATTGGGGGGGGGGATAGGCTGCTTCAGAAAACTTCAAAACAGATAATTGCTGACTCATGAGGATAGCCATCAAAGTTAAGAAAAGAAACAACAAGGGAGAAATACAGAGGAAGGAAAGATGGAGTCTCTTCAGCAGCTTTAACTACAGGTGCTTTAGTGAACAGATACTGACTTAGGCTGAAGCTGACATACATACATTATTTAAACTCCCTAAAACTTAAACTTTAAGATTTGATTAATCATAATATGTGTTCATTTATAAAACTGCAAAGGGAAAGTAATTATGGGCGATCCTGCATGCAAGTTTCTGAATTGTGATGAACTGGAATGCTGTTGTCAAAGAGTGAAAAGGGTAAAATCATCCACCCCCACGCAAAAGATCGTGAACTCCCCCATTCATTCCATGCAATGAGGCAACTAATTCCCCACAAACAAGGGGCCAAAGGCATCCAGACCCGGATACAGTCCGGATCCAGGTCAGGATTTTTAAATGACCTTAAAACACAAGAACAGGAGCATTAGGTCAAATGGACACAATACCCCTAAAAAGGGGGGAGTTAAGGGAGGACAAGTTGAGAGAAAAATCTTCCAAACCAACCTGAAACGCAGCACTTCAGCACTGGGGAGCATATAACGCCGCCTGGAAAACGCGTCTTCTTCAAGTTTGGCCAGGATAGAAAAGGGGGGGGGGGGGAGGAAAGAACCCCCAAAACAACTCCCGGTTTCTCTCTCCTTATCTCTCTCAGCGTCTCCCTCTCTCTTTACGTGTGCATGACAGCAAACGGTTATCTTTGAAAAAAAATTTAAAAAAATGAATAATTTAAAAAAATCAGTGCTTAAACAGACGCTTTCTCCTGCTCTTCTTCGCAGAGGACTGACAGGCGGTGCGAAAAAACAACAACCCAGGTCTGTGGCAGAGACGACGAGGTCGAGATGGACCGTGATAGGCGAACATTGGTAAGCGGTTATGTGTGTGTGAGAGTGTGTGTGTATATATATATATGTGTGTGTGTGTGTGTGTGTGGTGTCCGTTTAGCCCTATCGTTAGCTAATTCCGTCCAACTGGAGGAAAAGAACGGCAACCGAAACCGTTAGAACCGGCGACATTTAGCACAAAGTGAGCGGTTAGCCGCGTCCATCGGTTACAAGTGAAGGCGACTTCTGCTTTAGTTCGCACCACAACATCCAAATCGCTCCATCGGCAGGCAGGCAGGCAGCCGTACAGTACAGTTAGCCGTCGCCAGTATGAACCCCAGCACCTCGGGCACAGTTGTAATGATAATAACCGCCGCCGAGACCCAGTAAACCCTCGCTGTGTATGTTCACGGAGGGACCAACGTACACAAAAATAGCTTCACGTCGGTTTAGCTAGATTTGACTACCGGCAGAGAGAATGAGAGAAAAAATAATAATAATAATAACCGACAGTGAGATCTTCCTATCGAGGCGATGTGGAGACGATATGCGGACAGTCGAGAAACAGGTCCGCAAAATAAAACAAGGAGAGGGGGGTCAAAAAGTGCGGTCTACTTTCCGATGTCGAGGATAAATAAGGCTTGCTGTGGACGCATAGGAGAGCTGCCTGCGATAGTAATAGTAGGAGGTGTCCTGTTGGTTGGGGATTGGCGTCCGGACGGAGCTCCTCTTTCTTTCTATCTCCCTCTCTGTCTCTCCCCCTCTCACTCCGTCTCTCCCTCTCTGTCCCCATTAAATTATTAGTTGTATTGACTCATCACTCCCCCCTCTCCTCTCCTCGCTGCTGGTGCTGCCGCTACTTGTGCTTCCCCTTTCTCCTCCTCATTTCAAATGGCATGGTAGTAGATGGGGTAAAAAAAAAAAAGGGGGGAAAAATAGATAGGAGGGTGTGTGTGTGTGTGTGTGTGTGTGTGTGTGTGAGAGAGAGAGAGAGAAAAGAGAGAGTGGGGGTGAGGTGTGTGAGGAAGAGAGAAATAATCCCCTTATTATAAGAAAACAGATGATTCCTCAGCATCTCAGGTCGAAAAGTCCTGGCAGAGACAAATAAAGTAAAGAGAGTGGACAGGGAGAGAAACCACACATAAACACACACAATAGAGAAGAACGGTGGTGCGATTTCCGGCTGTGCGCGCAGGAATTTTTAATCAGCTTGATTAGAGTGAGGCGGTCCTGCATTTATTACCGGATACACACAGATGCTCACACACACACACACACACACACACACACACACACACACACACACACACACACACACACATATACATTCATTTATTATGCGGTTTTTATTTTACAAAATATCTTAAATTCAATGATTTAGGCAACAATTGCAAAAGCTAACATGAACTATTAGACTCCAGTCAATGGTTGAGATATACAATCATCATAATAAACTAAAGGCAAACCAAAAAAATTACACATTACATTTATATAAAAGCTTTTATGCATACCCACCACCAAAACTGATAACAAAAACACAAAACATGGTCCTTCTTGCATGTGCAATCAGATTATGGATGTACTTTTTCCTCTTTTAACAAACAAGAGTTGGTTATAGACTTATTTCTTATTATATATGCTATGAAATGATACAAGTGGGTAATAGCTTCTTTCAAATGGAAAAACTTACAGTTAATGTCCATCTGTAAACAAGACAAAAACCTAAATATTTATATATTTAAGTAGGTAGAAATTTACATCTTGGCCATAATGTACACTCTGTATTTACACTACTAAATATTTATGACAGCCTTAAAAAGGGGGAACACTCTATTCTTCTGCACAGTGAAAGGTAGTGAGCTACATCCCTGGTTATAGGTTGGTGGTTTGTCAACAGACAACTGCCCTCAAAGTCAAGTTGCAAGGATTTATCAGCCTAATATTTAGCTATTGCATTGTAAATATGGTAAAGTGCATATATTCTAGCAAATTATAATCACTAAACAAAGAAAAATAAATGATCTAAAAGGCGTTTTCTCCCCCTTTATATATAATTAAGGTCAATTTGCTAGCACTACATGTTGAGGTTTGTATGACTAAAAGTACTTTAACTTTATACTACAAATAAAAAAGGGAATTTTGGTGGGATGTCCTAACACTACATCTATGTAGACTGTGCTCTTGTCTAAAAATGTAAAGATGGCTGACATTTCCCATCTCAACAATTTACTTTTGCACTGCTATTATCTCACAAACTTTACCTCCATGGTAGGTCATTCTGTGTTATGTCAAACTGGATTATGCCAAAATATTAGACAAGCTAATCTCTGTTGATATTGTCAACAAAACCCTGAACTGTCAAAGTGGAGGAAGAACTGAGATGAGGTAAGAAAGGAAAGGAAGATTGTTTAGAGGCTAGAGAGCGACAAAATCTCTGCAAACAATATCAAGCGAGAAGGTTTTCTCAAGTTGATGTGTGAGCTATTATTATTTTGTAATTATTTCATGAACCTTTTCCTGCTGGCAGGCGTTGCCCTAGAGCAAACTGCAAAAATATCAGACAAGGTAATCTCTGTTGGTATTGTCAATAAAGGCCTGATTTGTCCTTAAGGTGGCCTAATAATAACTGTTTCACTTTGACTTTATGAGCAAAGGCCAGACTAATATCTTGTCCACACACACACACACACACAGAAGTGACAATAGATGCACCAATACTGTCTGCAAGTGTGAGGTGTATGAAGAGCCAGAGGGATGAGTGCGTGAAGCAAAGTTCATTGTCGAGATCACTGAGTTTAAAAAAAAATACTAATATCCTATAAATATTATGAATAGAATGAAAGATAATAAGACAACAAGCAAGATGGTGCGATATAGTACGACATCAGGCCAGTATCCACATCAAACAAAAAAGAACAACGTCTGTCCAGGTTGTGTAAGAACAAAAACAGGAAACCAACAGAAAACAGGAAGTGTGTACACCTTTCACGGCGACAAAGCCAGAGGTTGTGAACCGACCGTGGAGGTCAGGTGCATTTGAAATGCTACATAACACTACGTGCTTATTATTAAATCTTTGCAGGGCTCATAAACTCCCTCTGTGTGAGACCATAAATACAGTAATGGTACATCTTCTCACACAAAGCTGTTGTTTCATAAACAATGGTACACTACAGACGTGAGCTCCTCGGCTTAGCTTGACAGGAACCACTGTCAGCTGTCGAAAGAAAGTCTACGGAACAACTATGAAGAAAATCATTCAGATTTACAGAAGGTGTTTACTAGAGTCCTTTTAAAAGAAGGCGGATATTGGAACAGATCAAAAAATCTACCACGGAAGAAATGATGGTGTGCTGTATCACTACGCAGTAGAAACAGTACAGTTGTACCTCCCATTCAAACCCTAGTAGTGAAACCAGATCCTTCTTCCACCCACCCATGTGAGGTCAAAAGTTTGCACATTTCAAAATACATTTGTGTCCAGAAAGGCTACATTAGGAATTCACTGCAGAAGGCCAGCGGAGAAGCTTTTAACGGAAAAATAAAAATTGAAACTCACCTTTCGGACCTGCAATGGAACAATGTCTTGCAATATTGACACCTACTGTAGTTAGCATGAGGTGTAAGTTTTGAGGGGGCGGCTGCATTTTACAAAGGGTCCCACGTCTGTGGTTTTTTTAACAGGAAATGGAAGATTTGTTGAAACTGCTTGTAAAAGACCCCGACTTGTTTGAATTTATGAGCAGAGGCTGCTGCACAGATTCAGTGATCAATTCTTATCTTAACCATTCTCGGGGTTTCAGTGAGCTGCCAACACTGTGGACTAAACACAGCTGCGGTGTGCAGTGTGGTTAAATGGCTCTGCTATGTGTCTGAATAAAGAACCTAAACTGTGGAGTAATTACTATATTTTCAGAGATTCATTCCAACAAGAGATATTATTCAGCTTCTGAAAAAATGGAACAAAGATTTTTATAAAGTCGCTGATGACATGAAAGTAAAATTCACAAATGAATCATTCTGAAGTTACTGTCTATCTTGAGCTCTTTGCTACAGGTACATTAAAGAGGATTAAATTGCTGTGTTATTTATACTTTTCTTTTTAAAAATAATAGATAATTCATATCAGGTTATATTTCGTCTCTGAAATGGATGTGCAGCGTTTTAGAAAGTGTTTCATTTTTCCAGAATGTATCTACTGTTCAAGTTCATTGGTGTCACTGTGATATGTAGTAACATGAATCGCACAGACAGGCTGCAGCCCCCCCCACACACACACACCCAAACCTTATCCTCAGCAAATCACTTTTCTTCACCTAGACCTGCACAGCATCGCCGCACAACATTCTGCGTGTTGACATGTTTTACATGATGTTCACTGCAGCTCCTGATTCTCTGTTGTTTTTTTTCCTTGGCTGCAGTTAGCAGCGTTCGGAAAACAGGAGCGACGGTGAAAGCGAGCCATTGTCGGCAAATGCTCTTTTCTATCTGGCATGACGCAAGCAGCCGCAGTCATTTCCACTGTGATTGTCGGGCACCATCAGAGAGCATCGATAACCCCTGCCAGGCCTTGGCACCGCCAACAGGTGCCGGCACTGCCAGCTAGGTTGGCACCAACGTGGCTGTGAAAACCCTCTGACATCCAGAAGGGCACAGATTTGCACTGAATGCACCACTGAATCAACACTGCTGATTATCAATTAACATATACCGTTTTGTATCACACAGAAAAGAGGGGAAAAATGGGTTTTGAAACACAGAAAGCCTGTTTAAAAATACTAGCTGTGTGCTGTTATAATCACATGCTGAATACAGATTTAGCTCTGTTCAAGGTGGGTTTTACCAGCCTGTGCGGCTTTGTGTTGGAAATACAGTACGAGGTGCACTGTGCATGTAGCTACACAAGTGTAATTGTTCAGGTGAGATTGTGTGCCTGTTGGCTGCATTTGTAAAGAAAACATGAAAATGACATGAGAAACATGACAGACTGGATGCTGAATTGCAACAAAAGACGCCTCATATTTAAATGTCAGGAGTCATAGCATTATACCACAGATACATTTCACCTTCACTGTGCATTACCACAGCTACTGTATGTTTTCACCATATCACACTTATCATAACTATCACATCTGGCCTGCTGCTTTTTAAACCACATGTTTATGTCTCAGGAAGAATGAAACAGCATGTCTCTTTCTAAAGGACACTAATAATCAACACACAAAGGGGGAAAATATGAATAAGAAAATGTATCATTGTTGGCTTAACATCAGGAAGCGTCTTTATTTACTGTGTCAGGCGAAGCCGGCGCCATCACTTACTGTACGTAGGTGTTATGATGTCTTCATGCTCGCCACTTGTGATGCTTCTAATGGGCATTAATACGATTATTTGGATTACTAATACAAATTAGTCTGCACATCCAGTCTGAGCGAACACAAACAGCATGGGGGCTAAGCTCTGTCACTCGTTTGACTTTGAGCTCTTTCTGCAAGTGTCTCCCGCAATAAAAACACACACATAAACATAATAGTATTATTAGAGGCTGCAAAGGATTTAATAATCTGTTGGGGGAACGTGTCAAAACACGCCTGCATCAGTGTGGGCGCACAGATGAAACTCAGTGAGACAGAAGATGTCATGTGCAGTGAAAAAAGGAAAATGAGGGTGGTACAGTAGATGCCATGCAAAACCAACAAGCAGTTAAATGAGTAGTAAAAGTGACAAAAAATGAAATCAGTCTTGTCTAAACCAAAGCACCGAAATTATGCAGAAGCAGATAATATTTTGTATATGACCAAGTACCAATCACATTTTTATTATATATTAAAAGGGAGGCTTTTGACTTTTGGAACAAAGAACTTGTTTACCGCCGTTGGCATTTGTAGGTCAATAT